TGAGGGTTCTTCAGTGTTGTTGCCAGACGAGAAGAAGAAAGCTGAAAAAGCGGCTGAACTCACTGAATGGGCCGTACTAAATGTCCCAAAGGCAGTAACATACGCTCAACAAGTAGTGTCGAACGCTACAAAGGCAGGTACAGACGCTTTCGTTCTGGTGAAACAGGTGGAGACAGAGGAACAGAAAGTGAATGAAGCGACGAGGAGCGTAAAACAAGCAGCGGCGAGCATAACGAAAGTTGCGGACAATGTTGTGGCTGCGGTTGAGGGTGCCAACAAAGAATTTACCACGGTAAGTGCCGCAGTGGCGAAATACCTCAACGAAGTAGAGGAGGCAAAGAATGCGGTAAAGGCTGTTCTTACTGCAACAGAGGCCATACTTGGTGCAGCAACAAAAGTGGATGGGTTGGCCAAGAGGGCCAACACGAATTCGACTAAAGTGGAAGGTGAATGGAATGACTTAGAAAAAGAGACCCTTAAAGGACTTGAGGCTCTCCTAAAAGGACTGCAAAGAACCAACAAGGCAACATCTCCCTCTAAGACTAAACTTGACGGACTTGATGGCCTCCTGCAGACAGCAATATCCGCTGCAGATAGTGTTGTAGAGCAGGCGAAGACTGAGAAATCAACCGCTGAAGCGGTGTTGTGGCAAGCCAACAAGCAGCTGGAAGCCGCTGAGGAGAAACAAAAGTATATGGAGAAGCAGCAACAGCAGGAGACTGAGAAGCAGGAAGAAACAAAGCAGGATCAGGAGAAACCAAAAATGGAGATTCTGGAAAGCGGAGTGAATGAAAGGGACGAACCAAAAGGACTCAACCTTCCCCAGAAACCCGACACCACTGATGCCACTTCGTCTCCTCCTGCTGGTGCGTTGTTGCCTAAGACCGATGGCACTGCGGATGGCGAGAAGCTTCTTGCTCAGCACACAGATGGCAGCGGCGTCCCTGTTTGGGTGCGTGCGCCGCTGATGATGCTGCTGCTGGCCTGTGTGACTGTGTGATAAGACTTCTGCGTGTGTGTGTGTGCATGGGACGATGATGCTCCCACCGTAATTGCGTTGAGTGCTGAGGACTGCGCTCCTGATCGATAAGATTCTTTTGTTTTTCATTTCATTGCTGCCCCGTTTTGGGCGTAACACCGACCTACTTGGTGTCGACGACACGCACTGTGGGAAGGGGAGGCGTGTTTTCTTTTCGTTTCTTGCTCGGGTTTTGCTTTGCGCGCTGCTGTGCGCCGCCCACTATTGTTTCTCCTGCTGGGGATTCTCTTTTCATCCTTGTGTGGTGCGTCCTTCGCTGCATCTCTCCCGCCGTGTCTGCGCCACTCACACCGGGACACACATAAAGGGACGTGAGCGCCAGCAGTACAATTGCGTCCACG